ATTACAAATTGTTATCACACAATCACCCAAACATTCAATGCTGGTGGTGGTGAAATTAATATGAATATTGTAAAATGATCTTCTAAACTGACTGGAGCATTCATTACCTTATTTAGAACTCCAAGGAGTGGTGAAGAACTGAACGGATACTTACCTGACAATTATGTATATAAGAGATGGAATTAATCCTATGATCTATGGAAGAATTAATGATACTGGTAATGCTGATACAAATGACTTACAAGGTACAAAGGTTTTCAAGATGCCACCCGTAGTTTAAGTTGGCAAATTCAATTAAGCAATTCCCAGAAATACACAGAATTTGAAGCGCAATCATTATCATAAATCTTTTACTATTTAAGAAGAGCTATACAGTACATGACAGTTTAAGTTTTTCGTATCGTCAATACAGAAAGAACAAATTCATTATTGGTATGTCATTTGAAAAAATTGCAGATGTCAATTTTACTGGTTATAATTCTAAAATGTCAGGTATTACCAATTTTCGAGTTAAAGGAGCAGAAGGAGCATTATTAGACCCTAATGAACAAATCACTGAGGGTTTCAGAGACTGTTCTGGAATTGAGAGAAAGTGGTAGTATTGTCTACTTCCAAGGAAATTGAACATTTAAAACATCCCAGGAAATCAAAAAATCCAAAATTCCAATTTTCCAAAATTCCAATTTTCCAAAAAAAACCAAAGAAACCAAAAAAAACAAAAAAAACAATTCTGCACAGACCATGGGGGGAAGAGGGGGTGAGGCAAAGTCCTGGCACAATTGTTTTTTTTGTTTTTTTTGGTTTCTTTGGTTTTTTTGGAAAATTGGAATTTTGGAAAATTGGAATTTTGGAAAATTGGAATTTTGGAAATTGCCTTTGGGGGAGGGGGGGGGTTGAGGCAGAATAGTATTCTTTCAGTCGCACAAAAATCAATAGAAACGCAATACAAATATAGAAACAAAATACAAACAAAATGAAACAATGCAAAAAAACGCCGCTCAGAGCGCTCCTTTCTGTTTTCTTTATGTTCACCCCCCCTTCGAAAATGCATTTTCAACACCTGTCCCTTCCCATTTGCATACATTATTGTAAAGAAATGTATGAACCGACCCCCCCTCCCTTATCCTTTTTTGGGCTTGCCATGCCAGCTGCCCAGTTTGGCGGGGGCTCAATTCAGGCAGTAGTAGAACGTTTGCTTGGTATGGAGTCCATTGAGTGGCTATCACTTGGAAGGCAAAGCTCAGATGCATCAAGGTCATTGCGTGCATACTGGTCATTAGGAGCGACCCAGATGGTCCACTTGTTCTTATTCCTACTCGTATTTGTTTCTGACAATGCATAACGCATGACGTGGTGCCGCCTAGTGAAATGTATGTTTGATTTGTTCTGTTTACTTGTTGTGTCCTTGCTTCCCGTTGATATTTACCACAACCGCATTACAACGAACGAACGATACTCTCATCCCCTTGTGTCAATAGAATTGAAGTGCTGTAGCGAGAGGGAGAGAGAGAGAGAGAGATGATCTGGTGTGTCTCTGGGACATCAACTTGTCTCCGCAATGAATTTCAGAGCGAAGACCAACCCATTGGCCATCAAACATATTCCTAACCCCGCACAAATTGTTGCTTCAAGACCAGAATGTTGTGCTCGAATATGAGTCTCATCATTTGCATTAGCACCACGGACCAACAACCGACCAAATCCTCCACGCGCCTTTCCACTTCGTAAAACGCAAAGAGTGCACCTTTGCAGCTGTGGCAGGTGCCTGGCACCCCTAGAAACAAATCTTCAGAACCTATATAATTGATATGATTCGAAGTGGAGGAAAACTGACACATGAAAAATATCACATCAATTCAAATCAATTCCCAGTTGCTCAACCAAGCCCTTTCAGTTTTGAGTGCTGCCAGGTGAACGGCAATCCCTTCGCTGAAGCAGGAAATTACATCGCCCCAGAACCCTGCCTGAAGCGAGCGTGGAGATGGAGAAAATGTTTTGAAGCTTAATGAAGCTTAGAATCCGTAGTTTCCCAGTTGGAACGACCTAAAGCCCAAGGCTGGAGACATTGACATCCCAACACAATACTACGCAACGCACTCACGTAGTGACAAGGGAACCGTATTGCAGAGGGCCTTGAATCTCTCGAGGAGCCTGCAGTACTTTATGACCTCCGATCCAAGGTATTGATTTGCCACTGGCGTTTGGAATCAGTGGATGACATCAACATCACAGAGGAGCTCTTGCTTAGCTTGTTGCAATGTTCGAACCTATTGACATTGTGACTTATATATTTGGCAATTCTATGTGCACGAAACCTGGGTATCATCACTGATGCCTAATCCAAGCTCTGGAAGATTTGGCACCAGGACGTCGGACGCAATACCTCTTGACGACCTGCTTGTATTCTGTCAACACCATCAAAAATATTCGGATGTCGGTTGGTATCCGTTTACAAATAGTGTTTGGAATGATTCTGCACTCACTTACAGGAAAGGCCGGATTAGATTACACATGATTATACTGTACTACTGACTAGTAACTTAGGACTTGTCAAATATATATGAGCAACCATTTTTATTTAGGCATTACTAAAGTTGTCTAAGGCATGCTCTATTTGCTTGTCTATCATCAGTATTCGCTTGTGAACGGGATAGGGCCCCCACATAAACGAGATACTTTTGCTTGATGACACTAAAGTAGTCTGAACGAGATAGTGTGATTTGCTACTAAAGTCTGAACGAGATACTGTGACATGACCTCCTACTTAAGTAGTCTAAACGAGATAGGGCCCCCACATAATGGATTAGTGTATTTGAGTTTAGTACCAAATAAATGCTGCCGCACATTTGGCGATTCCAAAGGCCTATGTCATCAGGCTTAAACCAACATGGTCATTTGCTCTTAAGTCCTATGTCATCAGGCCACAACCATCACAATACATTGAAAAATGAGGCGTTCAGTGAAGATGCTTGATTTTATTTTTTTGATTGTGGAGGCGTCCAAAGGTCCCCACCCAAACATCCTTTATTGCTCGATGTGTGAGCGCAAATGACCTAACCCTGTGGGTAGCCGTGTGGGTATGTCACTTGAACCACATTTGCCAAAGTTACGAGACAGTATATATACTGTATATATATATATATATGTTCAACAGGTTGCATGTTGGAACCCCATTGCTTTCGTACCCCTGACATGCCCTTGAGCCCCTTAATTACCAAAACACGTCCCTTGCGGGCATGTCCTACCAGGAGCATGTGGAAGAGGCAAAGGCCTTGAACCAACAGCGTGTTTTGTAGGAGCTGGTTTTTATCGCACACTGACTACTGAAGAGATTTGTGGAGTGCACTTACAATATTTACATAATTTTACAGTAAAGTAACACATATTGTACAATACGTTACTATTTTGCGGATATTCCAGGAAACTTGGCTGAAGCAAACTGAAACTACAGTAATTCAAATTGGATTATGGTGCCAATCACAGCTGTTCAAGCGGTTGGATTGGAGTCACAGCAGTGCTGCGGGAGACTGTGCAGGAGCGAGAACGCTTGAAGGAGGAAGCCGCCAAGGCCGCCATCCGTTTTCTCTTGAATTCATTTGAGGGGCATGCTGGTGCAACATCTCAATTGTAGTTCAAAAGCATGTCATGTGTAAGCACGCTCCGTGTCACATTCGCTGTGCTTGGTTTATGTGCCGCATTCTACAAAGAAACTGCAGCACATGAAAGCACATGATGCATGACCTACCTCCGATCAACTCAGGCTGAGGCGGAAGGTGCCTGAGCAACATCCTTTCTCACCATTTTTGTTTCACCCGTTGATTTCACAGCAGCAACTGAGGGAGAAGATTGTATGAGCCGTATTACTAACAAGATTCGAGGACAGTATTTGTTTGTGCTTTTTTGCTTGCCAGAATATGTGTTTGGCAGGCGTGGCGGAGAGTAGGGTGGAAATCCTTTAAGCATTAGCACAGTTGCTCCCAGATGCCGAGCGCCAAATACTCGGGCTCTTGGACTCCTCGAAAACCGATGAGTGTGCCGGCTTAAAGTGGTTCAAATTTGTCCATTCATTCCGTCAATAGATTCTTCCATCTTAGACTGGGACCGGGTCTGGACGGGAGCACTAATTAGTAATGTTCTAGCATTCACAGCAGTGCTGTTGAACTGAACGATGCCATTTGTTTGTTTTTTTCATTGCGGCCATCTCCTTCATTTTGGGTTCAAGATTTGTGGCTTCTCAAGCCCCAAAGCTGTTGCCCAGCTGCGGAGCTGGAGAGCATGGAGTGTTTTTTTGGTTAATCTTTCAGTGGAGTGGGTGAATGTAGTGGCCAACATTTCCACAGCTGATTTACATTGATTTTCAGCAGTGTTTCGGAGTTGTCGTTGATAGGTCGCGGGCGTTGAACAGGCAAACTGAACATGACGATTGATGCATTACCGTAGGTCGTCTGGGATTACTTGTTGGCACCCAACAAGGTTTGCCCCTAGGTTGCAAGATGGGTGACACAAAACTTCCTGACGGCAGGTGATCGTGGTTACCTGTTTGGCATCTGATCGCTTCTAGTGCCTGTTACCAGGTTACCAGTCTCCTCTCTCCGATCCCAGCATCCTGTGGGTTCAGCTAGAGACAAATTTGAAGTGCCTTTCTGGCAAGCAAGCTCTTACTGTAAGCATTTCATGTGTGATATTCTTTGCATAGGTGGGTAGGGGCGGCATTGCTCTTGGAGATCCTTCGCATGGCGCTCATTGATTGCTCAAGCAGGGACAAGTCAGAATTCTCCTCCGATCCAAGAACACAAAAACATTTATGGATTTCACTTGCTAGGTCAGATGATGATACTCGTAGCATCTCGTAGCAACAATTGATGCAGCTGTTCGATGCTGTTCTTACTTCCAGTTTCAGACAATCAGGTAACGCGGTGACTGGACCTGTTTGTAATAGTACTTCATATAAGTAACATTGTGAGATTCATCACAACAAGATATAACAAGGCAACAGGTTTGTTTTGTGCGCTATGGGTTCTACGCCTTCGTGGCTTTCTTGTCGGGAATCTCTGGGCAAGACGGGGCCAGAAGACTTGCCTAAGCTCCTGAAGCCTTTGCTGCAGTTGCGGCTTGAAGCTTGGCGCAACTGTAAGGAATACAACACATGCCACATTGGGCAAACGCTGCCTTCAGAAAACAGCAACACCACCACCACCACCACCACCACCACCACCACGACAGCAGCAGCAGCAGTAGCAGCAGCCGCAGCCGCAACTGCAACCGCAATCGCAACAACTCTATCCTATTGTGACTAACACCATTTTCCAATGTGCTTGTATGATGGTTGCGTTGGGGTATTCAATTGAAATTTGGGTGCTGGAAGATTGTATCGAAGGCGATTTCTAGGACAATGAGGGCTTCGAAGTGACCGGCTTGCACATGTTACTGTTACAGTATTTAATATTATGAATATTGATACTTTTATTGGCCGGTATTAGTATCGTGCAAGAGGTAGTGCGACAGCCGCATGTCTTTATGCTCTCCTTATGCAAGGAAGAGCTTTGTGGCATCTACGCCAAAGTTGCGGGCCAGGAGAAAAGGGAACGGAAAGAAGAGTAGAGTGCTGCATTTGCTGCTTCTAAGATTGGGTGACATCGTCTAAGTCGAAGCCATTAAGCAACATACTCGATCATGACGCAATGCTGATGCATGACATATACTTCAACTTTTGCAATTGCAACAATTTTCAGATTTGATACTCGGTACCAAGTCGTAGCCACGGATTCAGTGCCAGGATACAGTGCCATTGGAGATTCTTCAGGATTTGCACTTGGACCCAAGAGCTGCGCAGTTGCTTGGGAAAAGCTTTGACCTGCTTGTAATGCTGGTGGTGGCAAGCCAGACACATGTTCACACCAAGGTGGGGAGGCAAGATGACGGCTTTTCAGATCCTTTTGTTCAAGATTGAGAGACTGAGAGACAAATGTCCAACTGTGCTTTATCAGTCTCTCAGTCTCTCAGAGTTTGCCTTTCCAATTCAGATTCATCCTGGACAAATTGTGCCCATGGGGTGCAAGGCACGCTTCGCATTTGCCATGTGCACCAGTGAGAACTTTTTGGACTACCCCAGTTTCAGGCATGATGTCGGGCTTCCTGCAGCAAAGAACCTGAGCTGTGTCAACTAACTGCCAGAGCTGTATGTGTTTGCTTGCTGGAAACTCATTTGTCATGTTTCACTCACACATGCTTGTTGCACCAAGTTGTGGATGACAATGTTCTTTCGGTGTGCTATGGTTTGTATCTCTCAACATGTATATAGGAAAAAATGGTGAAACTGTTGAAACCCTTCCGCGTACTTTGTCACTGCAAGAGCTTTGCACATCATTCTATTCGTCTTCCTTTGTCCTATAACTCTATAAGTTCCATTCGTCCCGTGGAGGCAAATCCTTTCTTCCTTTCTTCGTGCTGTTTGGCGTCTTGGAAGTGGTACACGACGACCCGAGTCTGCCAGCCCTGCGCTGTTGGATTCATTAGCTTTCTGCCTCTTTCGACCTCACGAGCCGGTGGCTGGGATTACTGTCTTGTCTTCGAACATTTGCAGAAATGTATTACAGTATATACATGTAAATTATGTAAATTTATGTACATTGTACATTTATGTACTCTCTTCCTCCCAAGACAGTGACAGCTCACCACGAACTCGCTCTTCGGTGTTGTTTTCCCGATCAAGATTCAGAAATTGATGAAAGCATGATTTACAAGAACTTGGGTGCACTATCCAAGGCCTTGTCGCAAGAGGCATTTATGAGAATGGCCACTGAAGATCAGGTCGGTGCGTTTCTGCGTCGCTTCTCAGCTGGCCGGCTCAATGTGAATTTCAATTTGGAGACATGGCATACCAAAGCTGAAGAAAAGAAAAGTGCGGGAGTTGTGGAAGATGTCCCTACATCACTCTCAGCTGCTGCCATGCCCACAAGCTACAGAATGGATGACTTGGACCAGCCCTTGCCACGCCGTAAAGGATACTTCTTGGCTGTTCAATCCGCCCGGGAGTCCGCACTCTACCAAGAGCTGGAGCAAATCCGCTTGGAGAGACTAAAACCGGCCAACGAAGTCACCCGGAGCAATTTGGATTTGGAACTACGGGAGCGAACGATTCGTGAAGAGCTACTGGGAGAATTGAAGGACGATGTCGCACGGCGAGAGTATAGGCGAAGAGTACAGAAGTTCTGGCATAGGTCCAGACCAAACTCTGCACAAAGTGGAAACGGGAGGCAAAGAGTTGTTTGTCACGGACGCCTTTGGACAGCCAGCTCAAATCACATTGCCCGAGGTGGTGTTTTACCTGCAGGTGTGCCAAGGCCTATTACCCCAACAGTTATGCAGGCAGCAGTGAATTCAGTCGTTTCCAGCACGAGCCAGCCAAGTAGAACCATCGCAGATCGAGTTCTTAAAGAGATTCATGACGACAATGGCCAAGACGGGAAAAAGTGGGGCAAGAGGCATACAATCCGCCGTGGTTCTTCAATATTCAACGGCCTTGAGAATTTGTCTCAGGAGTCAGGGTCAGGCTCTGAAGAGAAAGAAGAGGAACGTTGTTTGTTTAGACGCGCGGATGTTCTCGCTGCATTCAAGTTGTACCGCAGTGAATATTGGTTGAAGAAGGGAGGTGGCATTCGCTCATTGCTAAAATCCGGGCTTCCAATTGCTATACCAAAAGATATGAGTCGCGCAGAACTTGCCTACCGTCGAAAAGTTGAAGTGGAATTGATGTTTCAAGAAGTCGCTGCTGAGAGATCAGCATTGCATACGCCAACAGCATCACAAGAACTTACTCTGCGGGGGTTTCTAAAGGCAGTCTTTCCTTTGGCCAAAAGGTCAGACATTTCAATCATGATGCAATGGATCAAAAAACCTCCAGATGAGAGCAAAGTTGTGAGGCAGAAGAAGATCGCAAAGCCTGACCTTGGTCTTCTGCGCGATTTGATTGACTTGTTCGATGCAATCGATGAAGAACGAACAGGTTTCGTGCCAATTGAAGCTGTCGAAAAGTTTCTCTCCGGTGAGATTGTGACCCAAGGAGAGAATGCCCGACTCAATTTGCGTCGACAGGCTCGCACCAGCCAGCGCAGTGTGATCAACGCAGCCTGCTATCCAACCAACCCGCGGGCTGTGATGATTTTGAACAAGACTTTGGAGGATCGACCAGAGTGGGTGGTATCCCCAGAGATCAATTCAGTCAAGTCTGTCAGACACTCAACAGCTACATCTGTGTGCAAATCCTTAGAGCAGAGGACGGGCCGTCCAAAAAGCTTAGAAGCAAACATGTTCATATTCAGGTTCACACCTTAAATCTTACCTGACCGCTTCACAGTTCGCCAAATGTCGCGCTTCGGGCTAGGATGGACCTCTTGGCTACAGCGCTGGATGTGGAACTTCACCAATTGGCCCAAGGGGACCCCAACCTGATCAGCGAGACCATCGAGGCTCCTCTACAAAGTTGATAGGACTTAGTGGTTTGCCAAGGTGCAAGTATGATCTCTGAAGAACTGAAAGACCTGTTTTTAGGCCACGACTTCCGAATCTCAACCCTTACATTTGATACAAGTATGACACAAGCCCTGCAGGCTGCCAGCAATCCATGGCATCACGATGAGTTTGTGGAGTCTCTGGAGCGCACTGAGGTCCAGAAAGGTGCGGCCAGGATGATCATGGATGCATCTTTTGGCCACTACGAAATTAACACATCATCATCAACGAATGTATATACAAATCCGATTAAACATTATTGCAAACACAATGTATTTTGAGCCCGATTATGTGTATATATCGTCGTCTATATATGTCTCGATTCAAGATTGGCATGAAGACTGAAGACATGAATCATTTGCCTTCGCAGGCGAGCAGGTTGCTGAGAGGGTACGCTTGGTGAGACTTTACTGGCGTCACTTTGTCTCATGCTAGCGGGGTCAGAAGTCTGGTCTGGAGGTTTTGAAAGCACCATAAAAGCACCATATATACTATATACTGTAAATATATGTAGAAACTACATTATTATAATAAAATATTAAAAAATATCACATATTCTTATAGTATCATACTATTATCAAACATTCTAGCAAGACTTCCCTCATAATTGCCAACGGCTGCTGTGGGTTTACTTAATCACTTGCTTGAAGTCCAACGGCTGATAGTAGCTGCACACAACACAACGCAACACATGCCAGAGTATTGAGACTCAGAAACATCTCGCCCTTTCTTCCTCACGTTCCAACTCGCTGAACATCCTCCAAGCCGAGAAAGTATCTTCCAAACACCGGTCATTTATTGGGTCAGCGGAGATTGCCACTGCCCCGTACTCACCCAAGTGAGGTCCCACACATGCTCCCACAGGACCTTCACCGATATCCTGTTTACTCGGAGCCCACAGCGCTAAACTCTGGCCGTCAAGCAAACGCGGCCTCAATAGAATTCACTCCCACGCTAACCTTCATTTTCCCTTCTCAAACCGCTGGCAACTTTGGTAGCTCTGCTGCAGCTTCGTCAGTTCTACCTAAGCGGCTCGTGAAAGATCCCTTTGCCTCATGGTTGCACACATGAATGTCTTTGCTGGGTGATTATGTCGCAGGCATCAGGAATTTCTTGGGACCTGAGCAGCGACAAATAGCTGATCATGAGGTATGTTGCCAGGTCAGATTCACTCTGTTGGTGGAAGGGGCTGCCTTCCGAACATCCTTGAATTCGCGAGAACAACGTCACACCGCTGTACACCACTGATTTCTTCTAGTCACTATCACTGGCTCAACTTTCTAGTTGAAGACATCCGATTGACATGGTCATATAATATGTCACAAGAATGCTCATTATATACCCCACTTTGACGTGTGGGGGTTTTGTTTTTAGTGTGGTATCCGCTCCTTCCTTCGTTCCTTCCTTCCTTCCTTCCTTCCTCCTCCTCGCTCCTCCTCGCTCTTGCCACCAAGCAATTGCCACCAACCAATTTCCACCAACCAACTGCCACCAACCGATTGTCACCAACCAATTGCCACCAACCAACTGCCACGAACCGATTGCCACCAACCAGCTGCCACCAACCAATTGCCACCAACCGACTGTCACCAACCATTTGCCACCAACCAGCTGC